TATACTTAGCAGAAGAAATCTTTTTAGTGAAGTATTGAGGGTGTGGCATGACTTCTCTTGACAGCTTATAGTAAAATGCAAGAAGAAACAAAAAATGAAATTGATAATCAAAAGGAAGCAGAACAAATATTTGGAAAAATCTCAGCCTGCAGAGAATGAGATAATGTGTTCGTGAGAGAGTCACACCAAAGGTGTAGCTAAGAGACCACTTGATAAGGAGATTAGCATGAATGGGCAAAGCCTGGTGCATTTCATCAAGACAACAGAAGAATGACCCTGAAGGCATCTGAAGATCTTGAGAAGTGGTAGTGCCTAGTGGAGTTGTTGGAACGGGAGGGGCAGGACCACAGCAGAGAGCCCCCATTATTTAATACCTATTGTAGCCTTAGGAGTAGGGCCACTCTGGAGACCCTAGACTGGTGGAGTTAGCAGCAGGAAACTACAGCAATAAAGCCACAGGCATGAGGCTCTAACCTGTGAGTACTGCCACGTGGCTAAGCCATGGAGGTAGAGCCCCCCATGGATACTTGGAGGCCCCACTCCCACCCCAGTGTGTCCAGAACGTAGGACTTTGGGTCGAATATTATTGTGGAGCCTTAAGACTAAATGTTTGCCCTGTTCATTTTGAATTTGGTCAGGATCTATTACTCCTTTCTTCTTTCCTATTTCTCCCTTTTGGAATGGAAATGTCTATTGTATGCCTGTCCCACCACTGTATTTTGGAAGCACATTAGATTTTACAGCTGGAGAGGAATTTGCATCAGAATACATTGTATCTTGAGTCTCAACCATATCTGAATTAGACTAGACTGTGGACTTCAGATGCTGGAGTCAGTGCCGAAAAAAGTTAAGACTTTTGGGGCCACTGGAATGAAATGAGGACACCAATTTTGGGGGCCCAGTGGTAGAATGCCATGGTCTGAATGTTTGTGTACCCCCAAATTCATGGGATGAAACCTAATAGCCAGTGTGGGACCTGAGGTGTTTAGCGTGGCAGCAGGCTATGACTGTATCACTGCATGCTAGCCTGGTGGCTAGTGACAGAGCAAGACCTGGTCTCCAAAAAAATAAAAAGTGAGTAGGTCATGGGATTAGTGTCCTTATGAAAGAGGGTCATGGAGGCATCCTTGTCCTTTTGCCCTCTTCTGCCATGTGAGGACACACAGAAGGTGCTGTCTTTGAAGCAGAGATCAAGCCCCACGAGACACTGAATCTGCCGGCACCTTGGACTCCCTGCCTCCAGAACTGCGAGCAGTAAGTACATTTCTATTGTTAACAAATCACCCAGAATAAGGTATTTTGTTATAGCAGCCCTAAGGGACTAAGACAAGGCCTTGTAAAGCCTAGTGGGAGGACAGAAACTGTCGCAATGACTCTAATACAGTGCGATGACATAGGTACGTGGTATTGTGGGTTAGGGTTTTGGGGCTAAGTCTTGAAGGATGAGTATGAGTTGGCTAAAATCTTGGAGCTTCCAAACCACTGTGCTGTGAATGGGTGACGGGTGTACAAAAACACTGATTTTCCTCAGCTTCCGGTGCAGATGGTGGCTGGATTAGGGTTAGGGTTAATGAGCTCTGGGTCTCCTCCACTCACTCCAGTGAGTTCTTCATATACTATAATTTTCTTTATGTGCCATGTCCTGAAAAAGCTGGGAATCACTGGGTTAGAGGAAGCAGAGTGACGTGGACCAGCTAAAAGGATACATGCAAAGAAGTGAAAAAGGATCAGCCAATCTGAAGAGCTACAGGCAGCTCCCAGTGACCCTAGTGAAGACTGCATGTGGGCGTGGAACAGTGCCTGGCGCCAGAGAGGCCAAGTAGAAAGCCGGGACTTTCCTGTCTGCTTGGTGGCAATGACACCCCATAGTGTCAGTGGACACTATAGGAGAAACTTGGACCTCTCTCTGGCAGTAAGGAGACAGCCTACTCCCCCCAAGCTGGGGTGGTGTCAGAGAGGTGTAGTGGAGTCAGTTTTACCATCCACTGCTCAGTGGTAATGAGGCTACCACACCCCACATATCATGCCAGTGGAGCCAGGCTGCTATGGGTGGCAGCTGTTTAAGACCTGGAACCTGCACAGCAGTAACAAGAAGGTCCTCCTTTCCCCTCACCTTATCAACAGAGGCAAAATGGGAAACCTGGACTGTTTCTCCTCCCACCTGGCAGGAATAAGGCAGCACCCCTCTTCCCTCACAAAAGCCCTGTCTAAGGGCTTTCGTGAAGATTCTATGATCCAGAATCTTCTAATGTAATACCTAAAATGTCCATGTTCTGGTTAAAAATCACTCATTTTCCCAGAAAAATCTTGAATAAAACAACAGATAGCAATGCCAAGAGGGCACAGAAGTTACAGTTTACCTGACAGTTATCATAGTGGAGATTTAAGGCTAAAGAGATAGGTAGGAGGAAAATCAGGAAGGAATGTGCCTGATAAGCCGAGGAATCTGCAAGTTAGCCTGGAAGCTGAAGGATTTTGGTTATGGTGGAACACGCCCCATTTAATGTCCATGTCATGGACCTTTGGCAGCAGCAGAACTGTGGAACCTACCGGCTTGGTGAGTGTATGTGCTACTGTCCTCTGTCTACCACCCTGCCTCTGCACCCACCTAGGCCATGTGTGCACAGAATAATGTGCATGCAGAGACCTGCTCATGGACATCTCCCCAGCAACCCTCACTTATCTCTCCTACGTGCTCAAGCTTTTTATTTCAACCGTACACCCCTCTCCAACAATTCCTTAAAGAAAGATCCTTGAAGGAGTTTACTAGACTAATTCCTCCCCTCCCATTTTTCTTGAATCTGTACCAAGCCTTCACTCTATGAGGTAAATCAAGACTACTGATGATTTTTTTGTTGCCACTGTGTGTGTCCAATCTTCAGTCTTCATTTCTCTTGACCTGTCTGTCTGCAGCAAAGGACCACATCCTTTTCCCCTGAAACACTTTCTTCAGATGTCTCCAGGGCGCTGCTCTTCATTCTCTTCTTCCTTCATGACAGCTCCTTCTTGGTCTCCTTTCCTGGTCCCTCTTCATCTCACTGACTTATAAGTGATGTAACATTCTGTGGGTCTGTTCTCCGATATCCATTCACACTATAGCTTTAAATGACATCTATATTTTGATGGCTCTTAAATTTCCGTCTCCAGCTGAGCTCTCCGTCACCTCCAGATGTGTGTCTCAAAACTTAACATGATCGCCTTGTCCTCCTAAAATCTTCCCATCTCAGAAAGAGGCAATTCTAGTTTTCAAATGGCCCTGGACCAAAATCTTTGTATCATCCAATTTATTTTCCATCTCACCAACCGATCTGTGCACTAAGTCTTACTGGCTCTACTTTTTCAAAATATACCTGAAGTCTAGCTAGTTCTCCATGGCTACACCCTGCCGCCCTGGACTATGCCAACATTCCTTCTTATGTTCATAGCAGTGGCTCCAGTGGGTCTCTGCACCTTGCCACATAGCCTATTCTCAGACACTGGATCACACTAGACCTGTGCTCAGCTCCTCCTCTCATCTGCCCAACAGCTTCCATTAAAGCTCAAAATTGGCCCTTTATTCTCTGACCCCCAATCAGCCTACTGATTTCATTTAATTCTTTATCCCTTGCTCACTCCATTACTTGTGCTCTGGCACCCTTGCTGTTCCTGAAGTGCCCAAACACGCTCCCTCCTCAGGACCTCTGCACTCTGCTAGTATCTTAATGTAACTTAGCTCCTTCTAATGGTCCCTGCTAACATGTTACCTCGTCTACTCTAATTGAAGTCTAGCCCCTCTTCCTGTTACCACAATTTTCTCCGTGACTCCATCAGCACCTGACATTCTTGTGGTGTGTGGCCTGTCCCTCCCATGGGATGTAAGCTTCTCCAGGGTAACACCCCATGGTTTTTTTCCTCCGCTCTCTCTCTCTCTCTAGTATGTAAGACAGTACCCAGCAGTTAAGTTCTCCATAATGTGCTTAATGAATTAAGTAGTGTAGGCAATAAAATAAGAAGCCAAAATTAAGGTTGTGAAAGTGGGATCAAGGAGAAGGGAATGGATAGAAGTCAGGAGGTTTGAATCCATGGGATTTTACTTGTAGATTTGTGATTTGTATCAATGACGTAGCAGGTAAAAAGGATGCAAGCAAAAAGGAAGTTCAAATCCTCTTCCAATGACCACAGTCTGGCTTACGTTCTAAAGTTCCTATTTGTTTAAAACTAATTCCGAACAAAAGGGTGTGTGAAGCTGCTTCCTGGCTGTCCCTGGCCTTCCCGAGCTGGCCCCATGACAGGCACATACCCTCCACTGTGGCACACCAGCTCTCGCTGCAGAGAGCCACTGCTCTAACACACAGGCTTGTATTCCATGCATTTCTGAGATGGCGAAATGTGTACCGGACACATCTAAAAGGTACAAAAGAATTATGTTTTAGGATGCATACGAGGATAAGAAAAAGCTCAACTATTTGAAGCCATTCTGTCGTTAACACAATGCTCCAAACATAGCATGCTGTAAAAAGTGAATGCCTCAAAAAAATGTGTCTTTGAGGCAAGAAAGCGACAATTTAACAATGTGCAAGACGGTTCCTGAAATTCCAAGACCAGGAAACATGTTGTGCGAGCTTCTAACAGAAGAAATAAAACACATCCTCCTGGGGCGTATTGAATTAAAATCACAATGCACTAGTAAATGATGAAAAGAGAATGAACAGAAAAATACTGTCCACAGGGATTATGACCTTCATGTTCCATAACAAATTACACCAAGGCTTGAAAATCAGGTTTCTATTCTGACAGTGCCACTCTGCTTCCCGGAGAAGCCTTTCTAATTAACCTTTTATGTGACAGGATACTTTTTGCATAACACTTGCATATTTATTGGTCCATAACTTAGATAAATCATTTCAAATGTGGGATATGTGTAGAATATTGACTTCTTGCAGTGAGTTGCAGCTGTACATGGTTCTCAAGTGTATAAAATGTAGAGCTGTGCTGAAATAACAAGAGTTTGTTTTTCTATGTTTGAAGCAGAAGAGATTTCAATAGGCAGCCTTTATTAACTACTATACAAGTCATTCTCCTTTCATTATTGGAAGACAACAAAATAAGACAGATTTTCTTTCCTTCTTCTTTTTTTTTTTAAAAGAGTAGGTTCCTCAAATTAAAAGCATAATCATATAATAAAAGCATGTCACAGAACACAAAATTATGCAAATAAAAAATTAAGATGATTTTCAAGTTCCCAAGTGGATTCATTTACTGACTAGGCACGTTGGTGAGTTGACTATTCTTAAGCAGTCCATAAATAGAAGGAAAGTTCCTGAAAGAGAGGAAAATGAAATATATTTGTATATATCAAGAAATTAATAATAATTACATGCTCTGTTGGGAATGGCAGGGTTTAGAGGGAATAGGCAAGTAGAAACAACAGAAATAAGGATGTTTATGGAAAACAATGCAAAACAGAATCCTTAAAATCAGGGACATAAAATATGTGTGTTCAGTAAAGACAGACAAATGATTATTTAATGATTCCACTACTATCCATTATGATATTTTGGAGCAATTTCAGAATAGCAATGCCTTGTTTTACATAAAACCTCAGATATTAACCTATGAGTTCCTAGGGGTCTACCCTGGCAGAGTCCTTGCATTCTTGTCACCCGAGAAGAGACTGAATTTTCAGACATATTTAAGTTTTTTTTTATTACCTAACCAGAAATAATCTATTTTGATGTGTTATACAAAACTGAAAACTGGCTGGTGATCAGAAAAAACAAAAAACAAAAGAATCACAGTGGAGAAATGGCCATCGTGGTGATGTTGACTTCTCACAGCTCTGGCCGTACAAATCCAAGGCCCTACGTTATATCTAGCAACTGCTTATACGTCCCCAAAACAGGTGACGTCATATCATGTCTGGGTCAACACCCCCGCCCCCACCTGCAGTAGCTTATCGTGTCTTCACATTGTCTCCTCCCTTCCTGGTTTGTAAGATTTCGACTTTCGAAACTCCATTCAGGTTTTATTTCCTCCTTTGTCCTCGGACCAAGTTCATTGCTTTCTCCTCTGCACCATCTCTGCCCTTCTTCTGTAGTAATATACAGAGTGCCAGGGACACAGTGGGCATCTCAGTGTCACCTGCATAAAGCATCATACTGCTAGGATGAATCAGATGCAAACTGTTATTTAAAGGTGAATACTTTAAAAAGTTAAGCATCTAATATCTTAAATCTATTGATGAGGGCATTGCCTTAATTAACCAATAAATATTTCTTGAGTGGCTTGTGCTGAATGCTTTGAGGTTTATAAAATGTGACACACATACTTGTGACCCTCAAGAAGCGTACTAGAGATGAAGGACATTTACACAGCATCAACCCGTCAACCAGAGGGTCAGAATGAGACATCTGCCAATCCAGTCCTCTCAGCCAGGTTTCCCATGGGGAGAGAAGAGAAGGCTCTTTTGGCTGAGAGAGAGAAAAGAGATCTTGAAGAAATGGCAGGATCTGGATAGCCAGAGAAGAAGAGAAGGTGGGCGATGAACCTGTGCAGGGCAGTGCTAGAGGAGATCCTGTCTGTTTCCTTAGGGAGCCTATAGGCGTCTCCTGCTACCCTGGTGTGGCGTACTTTCCACAAAGCCTGCCGTACCACAGGCCAGCCCTTAACAATGCACTTGCTGATGTAAGTAACTCCAGGAATGCGAGGAGACCAACAGGAGTCTGAGGAAGGCTTGCAGGACTTTCGGCTCTCCTCGTGAGACACAGACGAGCGTCCAGGAGGTGTCCATACTGGACCCAGCACACACTCCTCTCTCGCTAAATCACACAGGTATCCAGCCTGCTACATGCCAGATGTGTTGTGTATAAAAGACCATTTTAAATCACAGGAGCTGCAAGATTAGCTCCTGTGACCACAGAAGAAGCTTCTGAGCAGATGAACTTCGGCTGTGGTCACAGGAGCTAATCTTGCAGACCATAATGAATACATACAGCATTTAGTTAGGTTTCTTTCAGAAAAGCAGATTAAGATGCACCATGACCTCTATGGGAAACATCTATAAAATCCCAGTTAAGTCTATTTTAAAAATTCATTCCACAGATATTTATAAACATGGTTTCTTGCACTGCCTTTAATGAGAGCAAAATATTAGAAAGGAACTGGATGCCTGTCAGTAGTTGTTTGGATTATGGCTCTTTCAAGTGAATATTATTCAGCCAATAAAAAGGAAAAGGTAGCTTTCTAGTATAAAATAGCAGAAAATCAGCTCTAAGACATACTTCAAAGTAAAACAAGGGGAGCAAATGGCATAACGTTTTTTATGTAAAAAACAGTAATAATTTTTTAAAAAGTGCTTTACCTAACCACAGACTATCTCTGGAAAGATACATGAAAACCACTACAAACAGCTGCCTGTGGATATGTGGGGGTAAGGGTGGGAATGAAGACCACTGTGTGTATATTTTATATTCTGCACCAAGCACATGTATTACTGACTAAATAAAGGACTTATTTTGGTTTTCCAACTTCACATTTATCATTGAAAAAATCGAATAGTTATTGAAACCTCACACTTCCACTAAGAAAACAAATTAATACAAATTTTCCTCATTTTAGGATGGGGTTACGTCCTGATAAACCCATTGTAAGTTAAAAACATTAAGCTGAAAATGTATATAATACACGTAACCTACCAAACATCATAGCTTAGCTTAGCCTACCTTAAATGTACTCAAAACACTTATATTTGCTGAATTATCTAACAAGGCCTGTTTTATAATAAAGTGTTGATATCTCAAGTAATTTTTGAACACTGTACTCAAAGTGAAAAACCAGACGGCTCACTGATGACTGCAAGAGTGAGTCATACTGCCATGGCTGTGAGAGAAAAGATACATATATTCAAAATTTGAAGTACAGCTTCCACTGAACATGTATTACATTTCCACCATTGAAAAGGGGAAAGGTCTTAAGGCAAACTACTGTAGTCAGGGACTGTCTGTACTGATGTGTGCTCACTGTTAGTGTTTCAAGAACTACAGGTTCACTTGTTCGTTCATTCATTCCTCACTGAACACCTGGTCAGTTCCCACTATGTCTGCATGCCAGGCCGTAGGCTAGGATTTGGGAGTACGAGTCAAATGACACATGGTTCTTCTATCTTCAAGGAAACTTACAGTCTTGCAGTCAGGGAGAAAATCTCATCAATAAACAGAACAGAAATCTAGCCTCAGGATAACATCACCACCCATGCACCTTCACAATGGTACCTGTTTGTTTATTCCATCTCCTTGTTTTGACTGTCTGTTACATACTGGGACCTGTGTTAGGTAGCAGACACATAAATCCCGCCAGCAGAGGTTCAAATGAGATAAACACACAAGACAGAACTTAATAACCTGCTAAGTTCTCCTTGAATGAAAGGACGACTAACTTAATCTAATAAGGCCAAACAAGACCTAGTACATTGCCCTGTACTATCAGCCACCCGGCTACCACATTCACTTTATTCACTCATACATTCAATGACTTGTTCAATTACCACTTATTAGGCATAAGACATGGTAATTGCACTAAAGATGTTCACAATCTGGTCGGAGGTAAGGAGGGCAAACAAACAGACAATCTCAGGATACTGTACTGCAGAATTCATCGAGTAAGATGAGGGTCCACAGTAGAGACTCTACACCCAGACTGGATGTGAAGATGGTGGGCTTGTGAGGGTCTCCTGGGTGAGGGGATGCTTCAAGTTTCACTTGGAAGTGCTGACAGGTCAGCAACAACTAGCTAGACCAAGAGCTGGGTGAGAGTTGTGTCCACTCAGCTGTGTTCATTTATTTGGGTAGGGTAAGGAACTGTGACTTCAGGCAGAGAATGGCACTGCTGGAAAAGCTCTAGATGGTTTTCAATCTATCAGGGCTGAACCACAGTGGGGTGGGGTCAGAGCATGCTGTGCTCCAGGCGGCTGACGAGGCCAGCGGCAGAATCACGCAGGGCTTGATGTTCAGAGCCAAGGAGGTTGAGTTTTATCCTGAAAGTCACTGAAGGACTCATCACATTAAGATCTGAAAAATGACTTCAGCAATAGGAGCTAAGAGCTGAAATACATAACTGAGATTCCTGAAACAGGAATGTCAGAATCAACTTCAACTGGACAGAATTTTCCATTGAAACAGAAGGGTGAACTTCAGATTGAAAAATGATCTGCAGCCTTTCCCAATCAGAAAGCAAAACAGAATCAGGCATAAAATGGATGGTTATTTTAAAATAATGATTTTTTTTCCTTTCTATTCCTATAAAGCACTGAATATCAATATTAATAGTAGACATTATTTGCACAGAAAACAATACACTTTATTCCTTAGATGTCACACATATTCTATCAAATGTTTTATATTTTCATTTAACTTTTGACTCTACAATTTTATTACTTTTTCTTCAAATCGTTAGTTTTAAATTCTGGAACCTGTCTCTGTAAACAGTGACCAGAGTCTTTAACTCTGAGTTAAACTCTGAGTAAAGCCTGACTATCTAAACTGTGGTACCGTTAACGTGATTGTGTGGGTTTTTTGGGGTCTTGGTTAACCGTTCCTAACACTGCCTGTTAGGAATCATCTTGATCACACTGACAATGCCATTCACTTACTAAATAAACCCTTACACAGTCAAATAACTACGTAAAAGATGGGGGACAAGAGGGTAAAACAGTTAGAGTGCCTATTTTTTAAGGCACTGATTGTCTGGTTATAAAATCACTAACCAGTGAAAACAGAGGTCTGTAGAGTTCTTTTTGGAACAGACTAAATGAGGAACTGTATCTGCCCCAGAGAATGGAGTAGGTCAAGCTTAAAGGCAGAGGATACCATACTTGAAAATGGCTGCACTGAATTTGAGCTTCCTAGCAGAATCTACAAGACCCTTCATTACATGTCCTTTATCCTGCACAGCCAGCATTGTCCCTTTCTTTCTCTAATTATCTAATATAACTGAAGTTTCCTAAATGATGTTTTCTTATAATTGCAAAAATTTACATATAGAAACCAATGAGTGAACATCTTTATTTGTGCCGGGCATGCTTCTAATCATCACAGCAATACTAAGATAGGCATCATAACTGTCTCTTTTATTAGTGGGGAACCTGCAGTTTAGATTCTTATTACGAGAGGTTAAGCCACGGACTCAAGATCACAAAGCAGGTGAAGGGCAGAGCGGACATATGGATGCTCTGAGAGTATCTGCCCTGTGGCGCTATCTTCTCCTGGTCTTAGTATCTCCATGGGCCTCTTCTGCTACCTCTGACCACCCTGCCTGGGTTACACATCCCCATTCCACGTGCCTAGAAAGCACATATATCTCTGTCCGAGCTCTACAGACTTCATCTTTGCCCATTTCCCCAGCAGACTGTGGCACTTCCAAGGACAGCAATGATGTCTTTAATCATTGTATTCCTACTGTCTGCAGCACAGCCAGTGTTCAGGAAATATATCCGAGTAAATACTGATACAGACTTGACTTGGAACACCTGAGTACAAAAAGATTCAGAACCTAAACAAGCCACAGACTCTCTCCGTGAAGGAATCTGGGGCAAGGTGGGGTAGAGAAAGAGAAGAGGGCAGTTATTCACAATGCTCAGCTTTGTGTGAGATACTCTCTGTGACACAAAGTAACAAAAATTAAAGGCTCCTGCTCTTAAACAGCCTTTAATCCAATGGAGAAGCCACTGTAATATTGAGAATGACAGTATAACAAAATGGTTAACATCGAAGACTCTGGATTAAAGTCAATGGGTTCAAATCTGGGCTTTACCAATTGTCAAGTACATGAGCAACCTAAGTGTGAAATTCACCTCCTGAAGCTTAAATTTCTTCCTTTTTTAAAATGTAGATGATACCTTCTTATGCCTGTGAGGATTCAATAAAATAATTTACAGAAAATTATAAGCACATGCTTAGTTGTTATGGCCACTTACAACCAATATAAGTCATAGGATACCAACACTAAAATGAAGAAATAGAAACCAAACATGCTCTTTAGAGACGGTGGAGGAATCACAGCCTGATTTAACCGGTGAGGACATCATGGAAGAGAGGGCATGGGGCCGAGTTCTGAAGGACAGGTATGTTTTCCTCATGTGAAGATACAGGGGACAGCAAGTTGTTTGTTATGGGCCTGTCACCTCCATTTGGTTTTGCGGTACTTGAATACAGGGGTCCATGTGTTATCAGCCTTTGTATGACCAGTGCCTCTGTTGTGTCCAGTATGGAGCTCATTCATGTTCCATGGATGCTGTCATATGAGAAGATAAATGAATTCCAAGGGGAGAAAACAAAGTTAGGAGGAAGCGACTTGGGAACATGCGATGTGCCCTTAGAGACAGGGAAAGATGGGCTTATCTACAGCAGGGCCTTCCTGTGGAAATAGAAAATAATAAGGTTTGCTGGAGTATCAGCCAGATAAGAGAAGGTCTTGAAGGACAAGTAGGAAAGTTCCTGTCCAATAGTGTTCTGGACCCTTCTGGATCACAACCCCTTTTTACAGTCGGATAAAGCTATGAGTGCTTTGAAAACAGGATAATAAACATAAAACTGTATGGTATTTCCTATTAACTCTGAAGAGCACTCTGAGGATGGACCCTCTACCTATCCCATTAACTCTGAGGATGGACCCTTCACCTCTCCCTAATTCTTAACTTATTATTCTGTAAGCCAACTCCTTAAAAAAACCATTTAATAAAGAAAAACAATCATGAAAAGTTTCAATAACATCACACACTACAGAGATGTGGTGATCGTCACATTCCCTTTCCATACAACACAAAAAAAAAAAAAAAAAAGAAAATAAACTTACTTTGTCTACAAAAATGAGAATTATCTTCTTTCTAAAGGTAATTTAATTATTTCAGGCTAATTTTGGCTATTAAGAAAAAGGCTCATATATTTTTCATATATATTAAACATGTGAATACAACTTTGACAATTAAACTTTATATGACTGGATCACTTTCACGTTGCAAAACACTCTGACAATATTATCTTAATTCTTCTAACAAATGCATGAGATAAGCATCATTTTCACTGAACTGATGGAGAAAGTGAGACTTGCCCAAAGTCACACAGTTAAGTGGCAGAGCTCAAATACAAATACTGAAAAAATAATACTCTCTGGAAGATTAGAGCCTACATAGTATTTTTTTTATGCATTAGAAAAAAACCAAGAAAATGTAAAAAAAGAGACAAAAATAATATCTTTCCTTTATAGGTCCCCAGATTTTTACATTTTTTTAAAGAAGTAATTTTTATAAAGTACATTTTATAATACTTATAATTTGTTTCATAAAATTGAGAAGCACAGAAAATCATGCTTCCATAAGACTAAGATAAATACTGTCAAAAATTTCCAGCCTATCTGTGTAATTTTTTTGCCTACACACATAGAAAACTAAAATTGGGATCATATTATATATTAAGTTTGGCAAACTGCTCTCTTTCCTGAATGATCTGGAAAATGTTTTTCATGCTATTGAAAGTAATCTGAATATTTAAATATCAGGATGACCTGAGCCTCCAATCTCTGCCGCTTATAATGAAGCTTCCTGGGTCAGACTTGATTCAGGAAGCTTCTTTTCTGACTTTTGTAGTTAATTTGACATAATCACTAGTAATAGGAAATCAGCAGGGGAAATTTTCCATGTGACTTTAGATAAGCATGAAATTGTCTTCATCTTCCACAGCAGATCAGAATCACTGGAACCAAAAGGCAAACTTACCTTTGATTCCTTCAGGTGTGCAACCAGTTCCTTCAACATTCCAAGATGACTGCCATTTCCTAACAAAAGAAAAGACGTTTTTACTCAAAATAAAGAGAAAAACATCCCCCAAAAAGTAAAAATTAAACATTTTACATAATCTACAATTAAAAAAGCTTAATGATTAAAGAATAACTTTATTAAATATTTGTCAGTTTTAAGAAGTGCCCTAAATTACTAACCAAATAATGTATTACAAATAACTAGTTATGAGGTTTTACAGTTGTTTAATAGGGAATAATTGGCCCCAATTAAACTGACTTAACTAAGGCTTTTTAGATTACTAAAACAAATTAAACTTTTTAAAATGAGAATTTAGGTCATCTTAAAACTTTTCTAAAATGGATAATGAAACTTGCTAAGTTGTAATTGCTCTGGTTTTATTAGTTATATTAAGATAAATTAAGTGAGATTAAAATCTTATTTGATTTATTTACCTTTGAAAATGAAGACCGTTTAAGGGTTACACATCCTCAGCCTTGGCGAGTGCGACCTCAATTAGTCAAGCCAGAAAGTCTTTAAAAGCTTTGTGCTTAGTGCTTCCAGCATGGAGCGAGGTGTTCATTAAGGTACCAAAATTCTCATAAAAAATCCAAAGTTGCACTAGTGAAAAAACGCTCAACAAGATGAAAACTGATCACATCTTTTTCAGAAAATCCAGTAGTTATTTTAAAACCAGTTTTTAAACAAGATTTGGTTTTGCGTAGTTTAACGTGCCACTCAAGCAGCTCGATACCATTTGGACTCTTTAAACAGCATTTAAATCTATGGTGAGTATATAATGGTACATTTAATTTTATACCATTTTTAAAATAAGTTGTACAAATGTTTAGTGTGACCCTTTTATGACAAGCATTGTTAAATGAATTCTTTCCCTGTTTACAACTATTTATGAAGACCTTTTTAAATAAATAAAAAAAAACCCCATGAAATTGTTAGCTCACACACACAAAATTTCTTTCAAAAGTTTATTTAGTATCAAGCAAGAGAAGACTTTGCTTAACACTACAGAACATTTCAAGACTTGAGTTACAAAAGAATACCACATTATTTGCACTTGTAACTGGCTTCCCTTTTTACGCATGTTGGCAAGAGAAAAAAAAACTAGCATATGGCTGAAAGATAAAATAACTAAATTCTATGGAAACCTTTAAAATGAAAGGTGAGGCTTATATTAAAGAATAGATTAACATATTTAGTAAACCTATTTTTTGTTTAACACTAGTTAATCAAAGTTATTTTTTTTCTTTTGATGACCTATTTTTTCATATACAGACTGGAAATAACAAAATTTTACATGTCCTTTTTTTTTTTTGTTTCTGCCCAAGCTGATGTTTCAACAAAGTAGTTTTAAGTTCCATCCATTCAGATTTTAAACATTTTGATTTATTTAAAAAGGGATTGTTCATAGAAAAAAATTACTTTGAACAGTATACAGGACTGGTGGAGATTGGCTATTTCACAACATCAGACAGTACAATCAGTATCTGCCATATGGCTGGTCTCTGTAGACGCCCTTTGCTGTCCTCGCTGAAGGTGCCTTGTGTCTTGAGTTAGTCCACTCTTCTTGCCCTAAAATCAGTAAGATGAATCACAATTAGATCACTGCCACAAATCCCACAGGCTTCATGTTTCAGAACCTAACTTAGCCCTGAACCAAAGGTAGATGTCATATTGAAAATACATATCCCTGGTGTACTGAAAAGAAAAACAAACAAGGAATTTACTTTAAAAAAATTACAAGAACAAATCATCATCTCACTCACAAAATCTGTCAACATGGGAAGAAAAATGGTTTTTGTATCTGAAATGGCAACCAACGTTGCAAGGACTTTCCTTTTGGTTAACTCATTTAACAATGGCTCACAAGCTCAGGTAGCAAAGGGAACTGCCTTTTGCTAAACATCAGGACATTTATGAGTGGAAAAGAGAATGGGAAAAGGATCACTCAGACTTCTTCCCACAGCAAAAACAAAGAAAAAATATAAACATTTGTGAAGACAAAGGAGAAGAAACCTGGAGAGCAAAACGGGAAAGGTCAGACTGAGAAAGGGAAACACGATCTCACTTTTCACAGGTGCTTTCACCAAAAGACTGAAAGCAAGTTGCATTGGGTTGAACTTCACTTCTCAATGACACTTCATGAATATGAAATAAACTTAATGACATCATGTCAGATTTCATTCATCATAATGCTAAATCCATACTGGACAATGGTATTAATAACAAAGGACATTCTATCATCTTTATCTCCTGAAATTAAAAAGCTGTTCAGCCTGAAGATCACTTTTAACAAGTTATCTACAAGTCTTTGAGGTCAAACAGTTAACATCCTTGCTGCAACACACAGCAATTTAAAAGCCACGTGTCCACAGAGACCAATTTAAAAAGCTGTGAAGGAAAAATGCTTAAAATGACCTCTTCTTTTGATACAAAACATGCAATCAGCATCATTCCCTCAAGCTATCTTGCAACAATTTAGGTACCCTGCATTCAGCAAACCAACATATTTCTCTTAAGTGTTTAAGAAAAAACAAACAAACAAAAAGTTCAAGGTGCAGCCAACACAGCTTCGGGCAGGTGATACAACAAAATGCACTTCAAAAGGTTTAACACGGCAAAACGGTTTTTCAGTTCTGTTAAGAGAAATGTCCTAACATCCATCAACCACAATCCTGATTCACTTGCACTGGGGACCAGGGATTCATCAGAGCTTTGCCACTGATTGAAGCTTCATGTTCTCTGATCTCCTTGCCCTGCGGCAAAAGCTCTTCTTACTACCATTAAGTTGCTGCTGCCAATTATTTTAATTAAACCTGTCATCCTTCTGCAAAGTGAGACTGGACATGAAGTCCCCAGCATCTCTACCAGCTCCACTGAATTAAGAGGGGTTTAGTTTAGTTGCCGCCATGTAAAGCTTAGAGACCCTGTATCTCCCTCTTTGGCTCAGTGCTTTTGTAACCTTTATGAAATGACTCTCAGTGTAATATTTTTCAGAGGGCTTGAGATTAGAAATGAATTAAAATATAAAGGTGAAGGTGGGAGAACCACCCTTTACTGTCATGAAACAAAGACACTTCAAAAAGACCCAGATACCAAGTGTCTGCAGTTTGAAAAACTATTCTGTGAGAAAATCAGCACACGGCAATCAACCCAAACATAAAATTTAAGTTCAGAATCTGGATTCATGCAATCTTCAGCAAGTCTTCAGTCCTCTTTAAATACTGAAATAATAAAGGAGCCTCTAAAAATAGCTAGATATGCACAAATGAGTTGGCAGAAAGCTGCTGTTTCAGAGTCCAAATGTCCTTATTAATTTCTCTTCCCATTAAGAACTTTGAGGTTCTCTATAACCATCTCTCCTCCCTCTCTTCACACGCTCAGGCCAGTCACTCACCGTAGGAATCATAAGTCTCCTCACTGAGTCCATGTCCATAATCATAGTAATCAGCACCACTGCAGTGAACAAAACAAAACACAGGACAGAATGATCTGGCTGTGAGTTTCAACAGTATTCAATGAAGTCTTGTAAAACTTAAAGACAACTAATAAAGGGCAGGAATGAAAATTCAAAGAAATTCCCACAGATCACAGAGTTCTAGAGCAGAAGAGTAACTTTAGGATTATCAGAGGCTCCTTGTCTGACTCCCTAATTTTAATACATAATAAATACATTTTGACATTTTAACCACAACGATTGGCCACTCAACACACTGTAAGTGCCTAAAAGTGCATGGGGAATACAGAGAAAGCACCTGACCTGGGAAGACTGGGAGTGTGTGGAGAAGGAGGATGTGCGTGGACAATTCCAGCCCAGTGTGCCAAGAGCTGGGGCCAGGGCTGTGCGAGGCACCGTGGGAGTGGGGAGGAGGTAAACGCCACTCTTACTTTCCAATAGATGGAACGTTTATAGAAGGCAAATATTTCATTTCTTCTTAAACCCTCATCTACCAGAGAACTTGGTGCTGCATGAATTGTGGGCACTTACTTTATAATACATTAAAAACAAAAGCCCAGATGAAATGTTTGCTCTCATCAGCCCTGCTGCATCACCATCAGAAGGCTGCCGGGAAAAGGCGACTCAGCAGCCATGGCCACATGGGACAGGAAAGCACGGAAATGGACCTCTGCAATTTAGTCACAAGTCTGGTTACACGAGGCCAAGGATCTTTTCAAAGTACAGGCATATCCATGTTCTAATGTACAACATCTTTGAGACAGCACCAGGAAAGAGCCATCACTGACAGCAAGAGGGAAGAGTTACCACTGACATTCTGCAGATGATGCAAAACAGCCTACATATATACAATATATTTGAACTAGGAATAATTTTTTACAGGAACAGACTTCTGAAAAGTCTAGATTACTAAGCTATAAACATTCTGAATATTTGAGAAAGAGACTCCATGTACCCTCTCAGGTTTTCCTCTTTCCCACTCAATTTTGTACGGAAACAACCATCCTGAATTTGTTGTCTTAGACTGTCATGGAAATAAATATCCACATTCTTTCAATTTCATACAACCAAGAAGTTTCTAATTAAAATGGCAAATGATCCAGCTGAGATGTTAACACCCCAGGAAGTCACAGTTTGAAGAGCACAAATCCATGCTGTGAATGCCTACTGAACACCAGCCACTGAGATCCCACCTTCTCCCTGGCCTCAGATAGTAAAACTGATGTACCCATTTGACAGGTAAGTATACTGCAGACCAGAAGAGCTAAGAAGCCAGCCTAAATTGCATGGAGAATGGTATAGCTGAATCTCTTTGACTACACAGGCCCCACTTGTTAGTCACACCCACACTGGGTTTTCCCCCACGTTTTCTTTCTCAGGAAAATGACACCAGAGACTAATCATCACATTTCATGACTACAGCACAACATGGCAATTCCTATGAGAAAAGTGTAAGCAATGGAGCTATATTTCTTTTTATCTCAAACATGTGGGCATGAGGTTTTATATCTGCTGCTACTTCTGCCAGAAAGCCCTTCTCTCCTTTTCTCCAGTCTATTTTCAACTCAAGCCCCTAGCCTACATGCCACTTCCATAGAGAACCTTGCAGGTCTCCCTGAGTGAGATCAGTTTCCCATGGCAGCATGTCCTGGTTCTCACCCTTCTGGCCTGGAGGAGACCCTCACATTACATTTGTTGAGTGTGTCTATGGAAAAGGGGCACATCCATCACTCTAGTGTATCTAATGGCTTCTTGGAGCACACAGTGCTTCCACAGTGTTCTGAAGGACCAGGAGGGTGAAGGTGAAGACAGGTGGAGAAGGAATGAATAGAGGCAATGGCAGCAAGGGTCTTCCAGGCAGAAGAAACAGTATGTGCAAAGCAGAGGCAGAAAACAGGTTGAAAAATCTGGGTGTCTACCATCAGTTCAATCAAATACAGTAAGTACTGATGAAAATTGCCTGGACCAAAATATTCCTTAGAATAAAATACTTCTTCCACATGTAGAACATAGGCCCCACCTTGTTATCCTGGCTTAATCATATCCTTACAAGTTAGTTAAATACAGTGTAACACAGTGGCTAAGACTTGAGCTCTCTGTATAACCTAGGCTCTCTGAAATGTGCTGTGTTGAGTTCTGTTGGCTTAACGCAATACAGAATAGTCACTACTATAGCTGACCTAATATACCAAGTAGCAATGTGCAATTTTCTACAGGGGAACATGTAGCTATAGAGTTTTGATAAATGGTCTTGAATTGAGAGCTAGCATTCCTAGAAAAAAATTACAATAAAAAGGAGTGTGAGAGGAATGGAACTACTGTGAGCTACACCACTGCCCTACTGACAACTCACATGCATGAGCTCGCCTAATCTAAAAAAAAACTCTATGCTTTTGTAGACGAGGCCGCTGAGGCCTGAGCTGAGCCATCTGCCCAGGGTAACACAACTTATAGCTCAGAACACTACCACTGCCGTGTGCTGAACACAAACGCTAGGGGTGGCTTTTGCTCACCACTGCTGGCCACCTTATGTGACTGGTTCCCACTTTTCTCTGACCTGCCCTTTTGCTCTCCCAGAATTTCTCTTGTTTGCTCTCCCTGGGGCTTCAGTGATCCTTCCTCATGCTCAGGCACAGAAGTCAGGCCCACATGAAACATACTGCCCCATGATCAGAGTGATGTGTGACTGCCTTAGTCTCTTTCTGGCTTCAAATTCCTCCTCTTCCTTTCTGTAGTCCTAATTTTCCCTCCGGGCATAATATATAGTTATGGTGAGAAGAAGAGAGACTAACTGAAAAGAGAGCAGATCATTTTTCCTATTCTAAAAGATAATAAAACCAGCAGAAACTAACAAAAGAAAAAATACGGCTTTCCTGCTTTTTAAGATATTATAGCTTTAAATATGAGAATGCTATTAAAGTACTAATAGAATATTTCTCATCTTGAGAACTGAAATGCAGACTCAAAGCTTTTGACAAAAAATGTCTGTCAAATATCAGTTAAGACCTGGGCCGTCACCTGCAGTGCCACCTTGGGAGTATGACTTCCATGTGTGGGTCTTCCTGTTCATCTGCCAAATCAGAGGCTGGTCTAGACGCTGCTCAGGTCTCCAGGCAGCTCTAGCATCCTCCATGGCTCTTTCATAGCATCTGGGCCCACAGCAGTCAACATAATTTCTCATTTTGTTGAAAATAAATTGGCAAATGCTTCTTGGAAACTCAGTACTAAATTAAATGAACCTCAGCCTTCTTTCCAAGGGTCAGAAGTTACAACATAATGGCTCCTTAGACAATACAACCTTGATGTTCTTGAGAATTCTCTTTGTTGCACAGAGATAAATGAATAACCTCACCATAAAACTGAAAGGGATTTCCTTGGCTGGGACAGTTCCCATTGTTTAACTTGGAACTGTAAATGACAGGTCCTGTGACTAATAAGCAGAAGAGCTAACAACTCCTTTCTGACAAAATTGAGTCTCCTTTATCAAATGAAGTGAGTAGTAAGGAACATGAGCCACAGACTGGAAATTTACGGTGAGGTGCTATGACATAGTTCAGCGTAGTAAAAAGGAGGGTCAAGAATGTTTTTTAATGCACAGGAAGATAAACAGTAGCATGATTAGGTCCAGCAATGGTCTGGTGATAAGACAATCTTAGTATTGACAAGGGAAAACTTTAAACTGACATTTGCTATCATTTCACCCGGTTTCTGATTATTTATTGCAGGACTGTCGTCAAGCCGAGGAGCTGAGAGCAGCTGGGCCCCGTTCTCGTACCTGTCAGTTCCGTCTGAATTGCTTTCACAGCATTTCATTTCGTGTACCTCAAATGTCTATTAACCAAAGACGTGTCCTATTTCCCAAGGATAAACTAAAAACCCAACATATGACAAAGGAGAAAAACACTAAAAATCTCTTCATTTATGGATACAACTTTTAATATTTCTCAGCAGTTTTCATCAATTCTATCAACTTGCTCTCAAGAAGCTAGTTAGAGAGGACAAAGACATTTCAGTAGAACAGAATATGCATAGGCATATTTTGGGATCAGAGTCTAATTTTGTTGAGGGGTGGGAGAAAGGTATGAAGCCAGAGGCCGTTCAACAAAGGTGACACATGAGTGGTTGAAGGACTGAAAGAGGAGGAAATGAGACCTGAGTAAGGGGTTGGGCTGCAAAGTATTTAGTGATCTCTGGAAGAAGGGAGTTATTAATTCACCCAGCACAGTTGTCCCTTGGAATCCATGGGGGATGCTTCCAGGACTTCCTGTAGATACCAAAATCCACAAATGCTCAACTCTCTGATATAAAACGGTATAGTATTTGTATATGACATATGTTCATACTCCTGTATACTTAAAGTCATCTCTAGTTAACTTAGAATACGTAATACAATGTAAGTGCTATGTAAATCATTGTTACACTATATTGTTTGGGAGAATACTGACCAAAAAAAAGTCTGTATACTTTCAACACAGATGCAATTTTTTTTCTGAATATTTTCGATCTGCAAGTGGTTGAATCCACAGATGTGGAATCCACAGACACAGAGGGCTGACAATATACAACATACTGCTAGCTAATATATAATTATGTGTATATATATTTTAAGAACTATAAACATAATTAAATTCAATATTTTAAAATATATCTCATTTAACCTCATCAAAACTCTGTAAAGTACATATTATTCTGTCTCCCTATATATAAGAAAACTAAGCAGTCAGAAGTTAACTGAACTATCCAAGGATGAACAAGTAAGTCCCAAGACTAGAATTCAGGTCTGTTTAATGTGACAGCTGATTTTTCCCCCACACCAGGAAGCCTTCTCCTTATCTATAATGCTAAGGAATTAATTTGAAGTTTATCTTTTGATAAGAAAGCTACAAAAGTTCCTTTATGTATAGCCCTGGTTCTTTTCCTTATCTCTTCTCTATTCCTGGTATACAACCAGTTACACTCACATCTCTTTTGGCACTTGGTGTGCTCTCTCTATGTGAAT